AGGTTAAAGTTTGATTTGTTGAACAGTGTCTCTAGCAGGTACATTCTAACACTCATTCCTTAAGTGTACTAGGCTCAAAACTCCTTAGAATGACCTTTAACCAGGCTAGAACTCATTACCAATGAGTCTGACACTCAGTTGAGTTGATTGACTGAGCTTTCAAAGCAAAAATATTTTTCGGGTTGTCACATTTTAGATTGCATTGGTGATTGAATACAACCATTTCCCCGATGATCGATACCCCTTTTTACCATTATATTACGTGTTATTTGCAAACAAAAGGGTGTAATTTGCTTGGTGGACTTGACATCCCACCAAGTTTTTCAATTCCCGGATTGTAAAGTAGTTCACCGGTTCTTGTAGATGTAACACCCCGATTCTCAGGTATTGTTTAAATAAGAATTTAATTGGTTTCAAGGCCTACTCGACGAGTTGGTCGCCCTACTCGTCGAGTAGCAGCGGGTTGGTTCGCGTATTTAGTGGCCTACTCGCCGAGTCCAAGAAGGGACTCGACGGGCAGGAGCTGGCCGATGAAACCCTAAATCCCGGGGTTTTGCACCCTATTTAAAGAAGCATAAGCCTCCTTTGGCCTCTTTGCAATCCATTGAGAGTCCAGAAGAACCCTAACTCGACTGTGTGTGTATTCTTTGGAAATTTTAGCTTGGAGGAAGATTTTTGGTGAGGGAATCTCTTGGGAAGCAAGCTAGTTGAAGCAAGAGCTTGTGGGTTTCAAGTTCTACATCAGAAAGGGCTCTCTTGAAGGTATTAAATCATTTTTCCCTTGGCTCATTTTCTCCTAAACCCTTTTGTGCATAAGTTTAGGAAAGGATTCTTGTGTCTAAGCCAAGATCTGAAGTTGTAACTTCAGATCTGGACTCCCCTTGGCTTCTAGATTCATAAAGCCATCAGCCTTGACTAGTATGAGCCTTCTCTCAAGGATGTGACTTCATTGCAAGCTTAGTTGTGCCATTTTAGGGTCTTAAAGCCTTGCATGCACGTAAAGTTTACAACTTTACGTGATAAGCATGCCTAAGGAAGTTGGATATGCAATTTGGGGCCTGGGCATGGCTTAGAAAGTGTCTGCATGGTTAAAGGGCTGAAGAGACTCGGCGAGTCATATGAAGATAGGCATTGAACTCGATGAGTTTGATGAACAACTTGGCGAGTCCGATGAAGATTGCAGTAGACTCGATGAGTGGATGAACAACTCGGCGAGTCGGTTGAGGTTTCCCCAATTTATGTATGCGTGTGCAACCGTCGATTCACAAGAAGGAAAACTCGACGAGTGGCCTTAGAGTTCCAATCGCGAGCCTTAGAACTCGACGAGTCACTCCGGTGACTCGGCGAGTGGTCAGGTATTTCATGGAACTCTGCGAGTAGCTGAGGGTACTCGGCGAGTTAGGGTCAACATGGACTGTTGACCTTGACTGATGACTTTGACTTTGACCAAAGGTTGACTAGTTGACTTATGGGGTACCTTGAGAGGTTGAGAACTTACAGTATGGTTATACTATGGTAATAGGTGGTGGAGTTTGTGGCAGTGATCCGAGGGTTGAAGTTTATCCACCGAGTCGACATCTGCAAGGTGAGTTATCCTCACTATATCGATATGGTCTAAGGCACCAAGGCCGGCCCTTTAGTTGTTATTGTTATGGTATGCTACATGTGGTTATGACCTGTTAGATCGGAATCAGGATAGACAGTATGTTATGCTCTTATGATCCGTAGGGATTGATATGTTAGTGACCTGCTAGGTCGGTGCTCTAGTTACGAGAGATTGCTATGATTGGTGATCAGTGAGATAGATATGTTTGATGCTTGTATATGTCAGTATATGTTAGTTATGCGCACATGGTTATTTGCTTGTTGCTTGGGTTGAGGCGGTCCTGCTTTGTGCTGAAGGCCAACATACCCTATGAGTGGTCCGGAGAGACTGTAGGCCCACGTGGCGGTCCAGTTATTCCGAAGGCTCGGGACAGATTCAGATAGACTGTAGGCCCTACAGGACGGTCCAGTCAGGGCGATGGCCCAGTATGCATGTTGTTGATTGTCTGTTACTGATATGGTATTATCGGTGTGATATTGGTATTTTGGGGGTAGCTCACTAAGCCCTCGGGCTTACAATTTTCAGTTTATTGTTTCAGGTACTTCAGGAGATCATGGCAAGGCGAAGGCGTGACCGTACCGCTCCTCATCCTTATGATCTGGTTATTGGGACACTCTGATGAATAATGATTGAAAACATTTTTGTAAACAAATACTATCTGGTTTTATTTGTGATTGAAAAAGTTTAAATTTGGCGTGAAATTTTTGGATGTTACAGTAAACCCAGGCATAAACAATCAAATAACAATAACCAATTTCCCCAGCAACGGCGCCAAAACTTGGTGGGATGTCAAATCCACCAAGCAAATTACACCATTTTGTTTGCAAATAAAATGTAATATAATGGTAAAAAGGGGTATCGATCCTCGGGGAAATGGTTGTATTCAATCACCAATGCAATCTAAAAGAACTATTGTAAATAAACTAACTAACTACAATTAAACTAAAAAGGGGGGGGGGGTGTTATGATTATTTGAAAACTAAAAGACTTGAATAACTAAAAACTTGCAGTTAAGCAAGATAGTGAGATGCTCAAATATTAGAGAGAGTTGGTTAACTAAGGCAATTCAACACAATGAACATTTGTGTGTTTATCATTAGGATTCAACATGAAGCTTATCATTCATCCCAAATTGGTTATAGCAATCATGAAGCATGATATGCCAAGATTCCTCTTAGGTAGTATGGAGGTTGGGGAAGCCCACAACACACCTTCTTAATCAAGATCAGGGGTTTAATTGAAACAATTGAACCCAAGAAGTTAATTAGCCTTAAGAAAGAAGGAATCCCCAATTCTTAGAGGATGTCAATGCTTACACATCCATAAAGGAGCTATGATTCATAAACTAGAGATGATTTTTACCATCATAAAGCCATTGTTCTAAGTTAATTCAATGATTCAATGCAAAACCAAATAAATAAACTAACAATAGCTCATTCAAGTGCCAAGCTCATGATCAAAGCATTAAACAAGCATAAGAAATATGATCTAGAACCATAAACATAAGATAATTGATAATCTAGCATGAATCCTTCAAAAACCCACAAACATTCAAAGGTTTTTAATCAAAGTTAACAAATATAGAGAGTTTAGCAACTTATGGCAATAGAACAACAATCACAAAAGTCTAATTGCATAAAGAAACTACCAAATAACTCGGAAAGATGAAAAGAAATGAGTCTTGTGCTTCCAAATCGCCTTCTTCAGCTCTTCAATGGTGTAAAATCCAGATTGTAGCTGCTAGATCTGATCCTCCAAGGTTATGGTGTGCCAAATGACCAAAATGCCCAAACTGGGCAGTTGCGCGGGTACCCGCGCGACGAAAATTCCACCCGCGCAAATGTTGCTGTAATGCTATTGGTCCTTCATTCCTCCACTCCACCCTTCCACTACCAAAGATTCCTTTGGTCCCCTCCATATCCATGTGATTTAAACCAACCAATCATCATTTAGCTTCAAGGAATGGATGCTCCAAGCCCAAATTAAAAGTTTATGACCCATCTTTACAAGCCCAAAATATCCAAGTCTTTAACTCTTATGGCCCAAATCTCCTTTTATGGATCCGCCAAGTCCAACAATGCCTCGAGAGCCCACTAAGCCCGTTTCCAGTCAACCAGCGTCCGCAACGAACACCGAAAATCCTGCAAAATTCGTCATGCAAAATAAAAAGTCGCCGATACGATCCATGATAAAGAAAATAAAGAATATACAATGCAATACTAATAAAAAGAGCTAAAAATACTAAAATAAACTAATAAAAATAAGGAAATAAAATAAGCTATCAACGTATCACTTTTTTAATGCAAATCAATATTAATTCTTAATTTAACAATATTAGGGAAAAATTCGGACACACATTCCGAAATTGTTCTTCGTATTCCGAACATTCCGAATTAGTTATACAGTTCCAAATATTGATAAAAACCGATAGCTAAATGCATTGTTCTCGGAGTTTGGCTTACCATTTCTAGGATTAATTCGGATTTTGATAATTCGAATTTGATACTTGAGATGTGCATTTTTGGAAAGAAAAATGACACAGGAATATGATTAATAAAGATGTTTTTCTGGATATTTATAATATTGAATCTTATAAAGATTGCATGGTGGTGGAAAAAATCAAGGCTCAAGTGATGAAGTTGATGTTGTGGGTTTGTGGGAGTGGAGGTGTCATCCTAGAATGATTTGGAGCATTTAAAGAGCTTGTTGCTTCTGTGAAGTTGGACTTTGATCGGGATAAGTGGACATGGAAGGCTGATGTTTCCGGTATCTTTTTTGTGAAATCTATTTGGTTGTTGATCTTGAATTCAGTGGCTGGTAATTGTAACTCGATTTTCAAATGGGTCAATTGGATTCCTATCAAAGCTAACTGCTTCGCTTGGCGTATGTTCCTAAATTGAATTCCAGTTGCTAGCAATTTAAGCAGGCGATAGGTAAATATGTCATATGTTCTTTGCCATTTTGCTTCTTATATCTTGTAATGTTTTCTAACACCTTGTTAGTTATCTAATATATTTACACGGTTAAAAAAAGGAAAAAAAAAAAAAAAAAAAAAAAAGGTAAGAATCGTATCTCTTCAAATAGTAGGGGGGGGGGGGGGGGGGGATGGCGCAGTTCACATGCATGAAAAATAAGGGGACAAAATTGAAATTAAAGGAGCCACGTCGGCAAAAGAACATGCATCCAAATTCGCGAGAGGAAACGAGACTCCAGAAGGAACGAGAAGAAGGGACGAATCGGAGTCAAGCAGGTCAAGATTTGCAAATATCATATTTCTCAGCGGTTGGATTCGATATTTTGGTGTTAATCTAACGGCCCAAAATCAAGGGGAGGAAATTTCTAGAAAAACCATATTTGTATAAAACCCCTTGCCATCATCAACCTCCACAAATCGCTGAAAACTGTTCAATATTCTCACATATTCTCCTTGCATTTGTTTTTTACGAGCTCTGTGCTTACTTTTTGTGATCGATTCGACGATATGGTTGGAAAAAGTGAAGGACCTGCAATCGGTATCGATCTAGGTACGACGTATTCGTGCGTCGGAGTATGGCAACACGACCGCGTCGAGATTATCGCAAACGATCAGGGTAACAGGACAACACCGTCTTATGTGGCTTTCACCGATACCGAACGTCTTATCGGTGATGCTGCTAAAAATCAAGTGGCAATGAATCCCATCAATACGGTTTTTGGTAAGCTTTCGCTGCTATACTCTGTTTCGCCTATTGAGTGATTTGTTAGACGTGGAAGTACCATGAGTCCATGATGTTCGTTTTTTCACTTTGATTTTTGTGGATTTGGTTTGATTTTGTGTTCATTGTTTAAATACTTATATGTCGTATATTATTTTCGATGTTATAGTTTCCATGTTTACTGATGCTAAGCGAGATCGATTTCCATTATGTTTAAGTGGTTTAACTCATCGTATATTTTTTTAAACTCACGTAACTCATACTATGATAAATTTTGCAATGAATATTTGCTCTTATCGTATCAACTGGTTCTGTTGTATGGTTGAATCGACATCTGTTACCTGTACTAATGTAGATTATGTTAACCTCTTTCCGCTAGGATAATGAGGTTGGACATATTGGATCTCTCTGTTAAAATAGTTTTTATGAACAATTGTATGTATGTATGTTGATCTCTCTGTTCTGTAAGGTTTTTATTGTTTCCTTCTTGCCTGAAAGTGTTTGATTTATTCCTTGTTTCATGATTTCAACAAATACCGTTTCTGGTACTATTTACATCTGCTTACTAGATTTCATACTCACAACAAACTTGGTTATAATGGCAGATGCAAAACGATTAATTGGCCGAAGGTTTACCGACTCTTCTGTCCAAAGTGACATAAAGCTATGGCCATTCAAGGTCATTCCTGGCCCTGCCGAGAAACCACTGATTGTGGTGACATACAAAGGAGAAGAGAAGCAATTCGCAGCAGAAGAGATCTCTTCAATGGTTCTGATAAAAATGAGGGAGATCGCAGAGGCATACCTTGGCACATCTGTGAATAATGCTGTCGTCACTGTCCCTGCTTACTTCAATGACTCTCAACGTCAAGCCACGAAGGACGCCGGTGCAATTGCTGGCTTGAATGTAATGCGTATAATCAACGAGCCCACGGCTGCTGCTATCGCATATGGTCTTGATAAAAAGGCATCCTCCTCGGGGGAGAAAAACGTTCTTATCTTCGACCTTGGTGGTGGTACTTTCGATGTCTCACTTCTCACCATTGAAGAAGGTATCTTCGAAGTGAAAGCAACAGCTGGTGATACGCATTTAGGGGGTGAAGATTTCGACAACAGGTTAGTGAACCATTTCGTACAGGAATTCAAGAGAAAGAACAAGAAAGACATTACTGGAAACCCTAGAGCTTTACGAAGATTGAGAACCGCATGCGAGAGAGCAAAAAGGACGCTTTCTTCTACTGCTCAGACAACAATCGAGATTGATTCCTTGTTTGAAGGTATCGATTTTTACTCAACTATCACCCGTGCGAGATTTGAAGAGCTCAACATGGATCTCTTCAGAAAATGTATGGAGCCAGTGGAGAAATGTTTGAGAGATGCCAAAATGGACAAAAGCTCTGTAGATGAAGTCGTTCTTGTAGGTGGATCAACCAGAATCCCAAAAGTGCAACAACTATTACAAGACTTTTTCAATGGAAAGGAGCTTTGCAAGAGCATCAACCCTGATGAAGCTGTTGCATATGGTGCTGCTGTTCAAGCTGCTATATTGACAGGTGAAGGTAACCAGAAGGTGCAGGACTTGTTGCTATTGGATGTCACTCCTTTGTCTCTTGGTTTGGAAACTGCTGGTGGAGTCATGACTGTGTTGATTCCAAGAAACACTACAATTCCAACTAAAAAAGAGCAGATATTCTCGACGTATTCTGACAATCAACCTGGTGTTTTGATTCAAGTATTCGAAGGGGAAAGGGCAAGAACGAGGGATAACAATTTGTTGGGGAAGTTTGAGTTGTCTGGGATTCCACCTGCGCCTAGGGGTGTCCCTCAGATTAATGTGTGTTTTGATATTGATGCGAATGGGATTTTGAATGTTTCAGCTGAGGATAAAGTTGGTGGACAGAAGAATAAGATTACAATAACGAATGATAAGGGGAGGTTGTCGAAGGAGGATATTGAGAAGATGGTGCAGGAGGCTGAGAGGTATAAGGCGGAAGATGAGGAGCATAAGAAGAAAGTGGAGGCCAAGAATGCGCTTGAGAATTATGCTTATAATATGAGGAATACGATGAAGGATGAACAAATTCGGGGGAAGATTCCGGCGGATGAGAAGAAGAAGGTGGAGGATGCGGTTGAGCAGGCGGTGCAGTGGTTGGATTCGAATCAGCTTGCTGAGGTGGAGGAATTGGAGGATAAGTTGAAGGAGTTGGAGGGTGTTTGTAATCCGATAATTGCTAAGATGTATCAAGGTGGTGGTGGTGGTGGTGGTGGTGTTCCTGATATGGGTGGAATGGGTGCTGATGCTGGAAGTGGAAGTGGTGCAGGTCCCAAGATTGAAGAAGTTGATTAAGAATTGATCTTGTTTTTTAGTTTCCTTTTGGTCATACTTGATGTAAAAGACAATGTTTCTCTATTAACTGTGGGTTTTTTTTTTTTTTTTTTGGTTTTATGAACGCATGTTAGTGGCTTGTGTTTGTTTTGATAAGATCTTAATCTTAGAAGAATGTTATTCACTAATGCAAATTGCAGATGATCTTTCTCAACCTGTTGAACACGAAAAACTGTATAGGTTTTTTCATCCCAAAAATGACACTATTTACTAACAGAGCATGTGGCAATTGAAATACCTGCACAAAAAAATAATATTTAATTACAATATTGAAATACTTGTTGATAAGTGAACTAGATATTCAAGAATGTTTAGTCTTATAATCTTATATGATTGTAACGTTGTTGTATTTGTAATTTATTTAGTTGTTAACGAATCTATGTTCTGGTTAAGGTTGTAAAATGTTATTTCAATTTGGCTGACCAATTAACAGTTCTTAGACACCTTACAGCTTTCAATCACTTTTTAGAATATATCAACAAAAATGGGACAATTCATGTCAAAGCTACGGCCATCGTCCATCCCAGTCTTATCTTTACGAGTCAACTCTGCGATTTGAAACTTATTCTTACTTTGGGAGCAAATTGCCAGATGGTGGGATATTGGATATTAATAATTCCAAGTGTGTTTCGATTAAAGGAAGAATTGCTTGGGATAGATAATCCCACGTGTGTTTTGATTAAAGAGAGAATCGTTTCGGTTGACAATCGGGTCTAAATAAGAATCAAAATTGTGTCTTGACGTAATAATGATGGCTACTACCTCTTGGGTGATATGGAACTTTTCTTGGTATAATATTTCTTTTAGCAGCTTGTTATTTTAGTAAAAGTGGACGTTCAAAAAAATGATGCTTAACATTAACTTCAAGTCGATTTAAATATATTTTTTATTTTGTTCACCAATATGGGCAATAATGTGCCCTGAAGATTATACTCGATCCATCATTCCTGTACAAATCACCATTAATTCCATATTTACCAACCAATGTGGCATCAAAACCATTTCCGGTTAAATGATGCAAACAAACAATATATATTCATAAAGAACACAAGATCAACGATGGCACAAAAAACAACCATCATCTATTACAAATCACTACCAAATCGTCCTACAAAATACAAACACAATTATACAATTTTCTTTTTTCAACATTTCAAATAAATAATCCAACGACCAAGGATCCAATACAAAAAGTGCAAAAGATATCTATATAACCCCAATTCCACTTTAGACTTTCTACCGCTTACTCCATTCATCATACATTTCTACCGTTATTCTAAAGTTGCATGATATCACAAATCACCCACAACTTTTATGAGACAAATGGAGTGAGTATATATGGTAAAGGTTAGCAAAAACAATGAAGCCCCAATCTTCTTCTTCTTCCTACCCACAAATTCATAAATTAAACTTTTTTTTTTCTTTCTGTTCTGTAATATCATATCACATCACCCCTACACAATACCCATCCCAGAGATCCTTAAATTAAATTTTCTGACAAGTCAACATAGGGTCTTTCATTCCAAGGAGAAGGGCGAAGGCAAACACGAACCTCATGTTCTTCGGGTCCTTCACGATGCTTAGGCACAATAATCTCAAGCATGGTCCCACTTTCATCACCATAAGCTTCTAATTTAGCATCTTCCGGAATACGGGTCGGAAGTGGAATTTCCCGCACAAATTCACCGGGCGGGCAATGTTCCGGAGCGGGGTCCGTCAACTTAAAAGTCCGGTCTTTCCTTTTCAAAACGGGCATACACCCGGTGCTTACACAAAAGATTTTCACAATCCCGTGTGAGAACGTGTTCTTCCATGTTACTTTCACCCTTTGAAGATCTGCACATGGCAAGCTTACAACAATCAAGAATCCTTCTTCATCTTCATAAATAGTCTTGGCGGCTGTTACATGGCCATATGTGTTTCTCATGACACCCGAAAACTCGGTCAACCAATGGGGCTCATGAGGGTGGACTTGGACATCAAGAACACCATCATGAACCCCATCTGAATTATCATCATCGTTGCCATGTGGGAAGAAGTTTTTTCTTCGTTTACTGTTGCACCCAGCCATAAGATCTATAGCATTTCCGTTTCCGTTTGCTTCACCGTTTATTACATGATCTGATAACTGAATGGAAAGATTTGAAAGATTCAAACCTGATCCATTTAGCAATCTTTTTGGTTGATGATGATTTCCGTTTGCTGAATTGATGCTCCTGATAACCGGAGGGCGTTCAATTTCAAAATCTGTAGTGGGAAGATTCCTCCAAGAACCAAAGTCACTAGCATCATGAGGGATGGAGAAGTTTAAGTCGCGTCCAGTGAGCTCCATCCATTTTTTTCTTTCATCTTCATCTAATCCGATCAAATTTGGTGATCGGACAACTTCGATTCCATGAACACACTGTGGATTCGAGAGACCCCTGTATTGTTTTCTCTGCATTCTGTGAGATCGAATAAAGCCTTTATCAGCACTGAATGGGAATGGTTTTTCACCTTGGCGAGAATGGCCATTCATGTAACTTCTCAGCTGCATCTTCCCCAACGCGTTTTCAGGTCTTTCTTTGAATGTCCACATGTACATGTTCTCCATGTCGTGTTGAACCAAGAACACATCCAGCTTCAAATCTGATTTATCATACCCGTTGCCTCTGGTTACTTTGTTCTTTGATTTCTCATTCAAAGCTGGTTTGAAGTAGAAGTTAAAGAAAAACCAAGCTCCCCAGACGCTATCAAGACGTTTTGCACACTTTTTCCCAATTTTTGTTGCGTTAATATTTGTTTCCACCTCATAATGTTGAGGGCCTAATCCGACATCCAACATATCAGTTGGATCATGCCATGATAAAGGAGGAGGGCTGGGTTCGGCTGAAAGTGGGAGATTGATATCTGGTGGTAAGCTAAGATCCACAGCCCGATTCAGCTCTCTCTCCATCTCATCATGTGCGGATAAGCTTGAATCCATGGAAAGAATCGTCGATAAATGATTGTTATCCATGGATAAGGTGAAATCTCCACCTAATTTTTCTTTTGCAGGCATTATCGTAATTCTATCTTCTTCGGTGGAATCCTTAGTCCCACCACAATCAACGCTCAACAGCATGAGAAGAACGTCATATAATCCGTCCTAAAACTAAATCAAATAAAAGAGATCCCCTTTTATACAGAACTTTACCGAAATCAGTCCACAGCATAACCAATACAGCTAAACCACCTCAGATACATTTTAATTTCACAAAACCACGAAAAAATTATTGAAATTCTCAACAATCGACGAGAAATTCGATTCGGCTATCACAAGAATCGATCGATTAATACACTCGGTTTCAAGATAAAGGAACGATCAACGAAACCCTAACCCTAGAGAAATCAAGATACTGAGAGTAAATTAGGGATAGGATCGAACGATACCTGTGGAGACAACGCATTTGATCGCCGACTCCAACGACAGACAGGATATGGGGGAACGCTCTGATATTAACCCTAGAGAGAGAGAAGAGAAGGGAAGGGAAGGGACGGAAGAGTAGATTTGTTAACGGAGAAGAAGAAACGGTGCCGTGTGTGGGTTTGGCGCTGTGACTCGAGAAGGGGCCTACACCAGTTGAAACCGCGGGGTTTGATCTGACGACCGATATACACGCCGTTATACACTAACACCGTCTTTTCCACGTTCACGGGAGGATCATGTGATGTCTTACTGTTTACTTCCGAATAACCCAATCACATTTGAATATGATTCAAGTGGGGATTGGTTTTGGGCTAATCACAAACTACATAAAAAAAAAAAAAACCAATAGTCACAAAATATTGTATTTTGTAAACAAATATTTTTTGTGACCCAAATGGTCCCCTTGTAATCTTGTATATCCCTATTTTTGTTGTTTTCCCTAACACTATGACAGGAATTGTTGATGAAAATTCCCCAAAATTTTCTTGATTTATGCTGTATCTACATTTTGGGAAATCTTAAACATTTACTTTTCTTGTTTTCTTAGAACTACAAATACACATATTTCATATCCACCATACTCCTAAACTATTCATTTTTGTCTCCAGCAAGACTTAAACTATTTACACCAACATTTGATACTATTGGACTACAAACTCTTTGATATGGTTTTTTCATGTTATGTTTTAATTTTATAAAATCTTGGGTAATTGCAATAGTATATCGACTTTAAAAACAACTAGTTTAGTGAATTTTTACCAAGTTATTGGTCCGTGAACTAGGAACATTTTTAGAAACACTAAATGTGTTTCATGAAATGTCTATTATCATGTTCTTTCAATGTAAATGTATGTGTTGATTATATAACATAGTGGTCCAATCTGGTAGTAGTTTTAAGTTTTGCCGAAGCTTTGGTCTCTTTCTAAAAAAAATGTGGTAGTAGTTTTAATAGAACTGCTATTTTACTTGGCTTTTTACCATGTTACTATTTCACAAACTAAGAGCATTTAGTGAAATCCTAAAACTATTTCATGGAATAGTTTCTTTCACATTTTTTTTCGTTTACTAAATTTGTAGTTATTTATAGTTTCTGGAACCTAGAACATTTCATGCGATCTTAGTTGTTTTGTGAAATATTTTTTTAGTGTTTGTTGATGTTGTATTTACGTTCTTAATCATGGTTTCTGTGAAACCTAAGTGTCCATTAAGGGAAAGATAGACATTACAAAAATCATCAAGGAGAAATTATATGCATAACATGACCGTTTAAGTCCATTTAGGACCACATATATAAGATAATATGAGCACATTTACACTCGTATAAGATTTGTTGTGACCCATCGCCAACAGAGGAGCATATGTGGTCTTTACTTAAAGGTCGTGAGCTAGTTTTAGATGTTGGGAGTTATGTATAATTGTCGGGGTTATGATTAATAATGATTCTGTCATTCGATGTTAATAGGAGCAAGATGTTCCCCTATATTCCTAACGCCACAACAATCCCTAGTCGGTGATTTTTGTGGTGTTTGTTTTTGAAGATGTAAAATGTCTTTAGTCTTTTTCTACGTATGCAAAATAAAATGTGGACCAAAAGTCTTTTCCATGTCTTTAGTATTTATAAAAAAAACTTGTTTGTTTTATAAAAGTCTTCATAAAAAATGATTGATGGTGTTGGTGGTGGCGGTGATGGTTGTGTTGGTGTTGGTGGTCGCGTTGATTGTTGTGTTGGTGTTGGTAGTGGTGGAGGTAGCAGAAGTGGGGGTGGTGGCGGTGATGGAAAGCTAAAAACGATTTTATTATTATTATTATTATAAAATAGTTTTATACGACAAACAGAAGCATTCAAAAAGAACTAGTTTATTTTAAGATCATTTTAACAAAACCATCAAAATGATTCAATTACATGGACTAGAAAGATTATAACAACACATATGATGTTAAGAAGACAACATTTGGAGCCTTTGATCCCATTTGGGATTGGGGAGTAGATGAAGATAACAAATAACAAGAAGCTTTATCTTCTCGGCAAGTATCCACCATCAAGAGTAAGACATAATGAAATGTTAGTTCCTATTTGTCTTTGTAACTTCTTAAGCCTTTAAGTACTTTAGAAAATTAAGTATTAAAAGATAAGCACTTCTAAGCACCAAAACTTGCAACTGGTCTTCAAAAGAGAGCAAGAGAAGAGGAAGAAGAAAGGTTACGAACTATGGGAGAAAAGAGACAAAGATTAGCATCAAATGAAAGCCTTATGCACTCGTTTATACTCACACATCATATCTAAGACCCATACTGATGGGTTTTATGCAAAACAAAAATAAACTTAAACTCTTAAGTTTGCATGCAACCCTAATAAAGATCTATGTTTTCTGTATTGAATCTATAGATATGAAATCAAAAGAAAACCCTAAGAACACTAGGCTATTTTCGAAAATACCAAATTAGGGTTAAGTATTACATACCTTGATTGTTATTGTAGCAAATAACAAAGAAATCTTCTTGTTGATCCTTTGGAAGCAAACACCACAATTGTCGTGTCTCTAATGGAATCACACCCAAGCTAGCAAGAGGGATATTGAGGAGAGCGGAAGGAGGAGGTGAGAATTTCGGCTAACCCAAGAGGAAGAAGAGATGGCCGAAATTGTGAAGGGCTATGTACCTTATATAGCTGAGGTAGCTTGGTGCCAAAGTTAGGGTTTACGGAGGAAACCCTAAATTCCCTTGCTTGGTGACCAAGCAGCCCATTCCCCTCATTCAAAGGGGCTTGGAGGAAAACTCTTGGGCTTGCCCAAGTGATTTTCGTCCACCTCATCCAATGAGGTCCTTGGGCCTTCTTACTTGAACTTTCAATAAATAACCAAACAGTCCCTGCAAATCCCAAAATTAATTCTGATTAATTATTAATTACAATATATGATTTCTAATTAATATATTATTTTCATAATATATTTAATAAAACAATTATTTCAATTTAACTCAAATTATAAATCAACCCCTCTCTCTCTCCAAAATCATCTTGTCCAGTTGTTAGGTTTGAGGGCAACTCAAAAGAACTATGCTACTATCAATACAAGTATATACCAAATATAGTTATAGGCTTAGACACCTAATTCAACAGTCTCCCACTTGGATAAGTCTAATAACTATAATTGCTAGTATAACTTCCAATCTGATTAGCAAATTGTAGCTTCCAAAAGCCGTTGTCGAACTCTGACCCAGTCAGTTACGTGTCCTAAGATAAGTGATCATATAATCCTCCGTTCTACAAGATATCATTCGAACATGAGACATGGAACAAAATAAATCTCATTGTCCAATACTTTGTTTCCCGATTTCTGATTTGTAATGACATAGAACTTCTAATCGAACACATCAATTTAGTCCTGGCCGGGCCCGACACTATAAGTCAACACCAAATCACCGAGGGGCCCAAAGATATCGCTTTTCCCGTTAAGGAAAAAGGAACGAATAAACTTTGACTTATATGCTTGCACCATTTACTCATCAAATCATGCACAACAATACGTCTTATAACATCAAGTTACTGACACATTTTCGTGTCATCAATGCACAATTGATTTGTAAACCACAACTCATATATCTCCGTTTCAAGATTATAAGATATTATCGTCTCAGAATTACTCGTGATAAATTCCATGAAGTAATTCTCTGAGCGTGGGTTAATCCAACACTTAAATCTCCATTTCAAAGTACTCATGAACATTGCAGCAATGCCATTGCTATGTCTAAAACTCTTTAGAAAATCTACAATATAATTCATGACAATCTTAATTCACTACTTATTTCCAAAAGTACGAACGACTGTGGAATTTGAATAATCGAATTATTCGGGAAGTAAAACATGCAAAATGAAACACAATAATAAACAATTTACAAAAGGTAGTAAACAAACTCATAAATAATGATCTATTATTTAATCACCAAAAGTCAATTACATTTACTTTGTTACAAGTTTCAAACTAACTATTTAACTATTAAAACTAATATCATCTTTCAGACCAATGTTCCTGACATGCTGAATGTGTTTGACCCTACTCAAACCCTTTGTGAGGGGATATGTAGGATTCTCTTCTGATGATACCCTTTTTACTATGAGGTGACCTTCTTCTACTCTATGTCTGATGAAATGGTATTTTCTGTCGATATGTCTTGATCTACCATGATCTATTGGTTCCGTTGTCAAGGCAACCGCTCATTCGTTATCACAGAAAATTTTCATTGGCTCCCTAATGCCTGGAACAACTCCAAGGTCTCTGATGAAGTTCTTCAACCAAATTGCCTCATTTGATGCTTCGCTCGCCTCTATGTACTCTGATTCACAGGTAGAATCAACCACTGTATCTTGTTTGGAACTTTTCCAGGTTACCGCTCCTCCATTTAAGGTAAACACCCAGCCAGATTAAGAACGGAAGTTGTCTCTGTCTGTTTGAAATATGGCGTCACTATACCCAGTTACTATCAACGTATCATTGCCACCAAGTACTAGGACCCAGTCCTTAGTCCTTCGCAGATACTTGAGAATATTCTTAACTTCTATCCAGTGAGCTCTACCTAGATTTTCCTGATAACGA